ATGCCCGCTTCTCATCCTGTCTTGGTCACATCAGTCATAGCAATACTAATCACAGGACAGAAATAGCTTGGATCTAATCTTGTCTAAGAAAAGTTGCTTCCTAATAAAAACACTTAACACATAACAGCTTTAATTGTACAAACTTTCCCCCTACCTGTCTTTTTAATAATAGTATTAAGCATGACACCTGCAGTCCCAGCTACTGAGGTGCAAGGATTGTTTGAGCCTAGGAATTTGAGGCTGCACTGAGATGTGACCATGCCAGCCTGGGTGACAGGGCAAGACCATCTCAAAAAACAAAACACGAATAGTATGAAACTGATGGGTTTTATAATCTCCTCGCTATTCCCTGGATACGCATCCAGTTAGTAATCAGCTTGTTCATTTCAATTACCTGGGGGTTTGCATGTGACAAGCTCTGCCAACTACAGAGCACATAGTGATGAAAAGGCAGATGAGGCTGAATAGTTCATGAAAGACCTAGGCAAAGACAAAGCTTTTAAACTGGTAAACTACATCCAAAGACCACTTTTGCTGTTGAAAGATGAGATGCACAAAAATGGATGCAAAGATCACTTAGTAACTAGGTGAAATGCTGGTGGCCTGAATTGCGGTGGCATTCGAAATTATTTTGGAGTTAAAGTGGACAGGACTTGAAGTATTCTGTAGATGGCACTCACGTCTTTTGAATTAAACACTGGCATTTTTGGGAACACGTACAATTTTAAGTACATGTGAGCCATACAAATGCAAAAATGAGTCAGAAAAAAATGGAAGCACAGGCCTTTCTTTACGTCATATTTAAAACACTGAAGCAAAACGGGAAAGGTCAAGGACTGAGGCCTTAGTGTACAACCAACTGAACAGTCATTGCTTTTCTCTACATTAACAAGGAGTCTCATGAAATTTTATTCAATTTCAAGGGTACAGACAAGAAGCAAGTTTCACAGTTAAACACAGAAATAATGCAGCAATAGAATTACTGGCTTGGATGGCTGTACTTGAGGTTGTTCAGAGTGCCAAGAGCTATCTGGGTTACCAGCTATCCAGTTTTCTCCATTCTTCAACTGTGTGCTGTGCTGGGTGCCATTACTCCTAACTAGAATGGAAATGAGGTGTATTTACAGAGAAAATACTTTGTTCTTCAAATGCCAGAGACTGTAGATTATCTTTTTGAGTCATAGAGGCTTCAGTCTATAAACGGATCACTTATTTCCAACAGGTTTACCTCTACGTTAACTTTTAAGCACAGCCTTCAGGATTTCAGCTTAAAAAAAAAAACTTTATTTTTGTCCTTTTAAGTATATTAGTATGAACTAGCTCCTAGCTTGTTTTGCTTAGGTATTTTTAAATGGTTATACTGACTGAAAATTCTCTACAACAGAATAGCTCAATTATATCTGATTAATGTTGCAGCACCCCAAACGCACTACACAACCACTAACATTCTAATCATATCCCAGTTTAACAAGTTAACAGTCTTCTGGATAAAGACTACAAAGCAAGGGATTCTGCAGATTTTAACCACTGTCCCCTCCAGGGCACTATAACCACAAGCAGTTAAGCCTTTAATTGAGGCTCTGATTCAGGGTTACTAAAATGACAGTGATTAAGCACATATAAAATATCTTCACCCCATCCACTCATTTAGAACTAAGACTATACTCCTAGTATAAAGATAAAAGGGTAATAAATATACTGGAAAATAAAAATAATTAGATTTGATATGACTCTTAATTGCCTATAGTTAAGTTGGGAGAAAAAAGTGAAGAGAAAGGAGTCAGGAAGCTTTCTGATCCTCAGTTTCATATAATTATGCCTAAGATTGTTCAGGTACGAGTCCACTTAAAGTTCTTGGACAAAAGCCAATTATAAACTCATTACTTAAAGACAGAAGTACTTATCACATCATCCAGATTCCACTTAAATTAAGCCCACTGAAAACCTTTTTACTCTTAATATTTTAACCTTGAAGCCTTAGTACGCTGGGGAATAGAAAAACTTCATATTGATACTAGAGCACTAATACTGAACATGAAAAATCATAGCAAGGCAATTTACCAGAATTTGCAAATAGCTATTAACCTACTTTATATGGCACCCATAGACAGACTCTGAAAAATATTTTTACAAAAGTAGTTTGGTAGTTTAACAGCGGACACTAAAACTTTGGCATCTGTTACATTTAAAGCCAACCAGTAATTGTTAGTTCCTGCAAGCAGCCTACTTGAGTACGACAGCAGAGGTTTATCAGAAAAAATTCAATACTGTTGATCAGTGTTATGCCTACAACTTGCATTCATTCATCTGGAGGATTTTCACTGATTGCTATAGAAGAAACCCAAATGATTCTACTTAGTGATACATTTACAATCAAGTAAGAATCTGTTAAGACCTCGAAAGACAGCGGGAAATGCTTTGCCTGTTGCATATGGTAGGGTAGGGTACAAAGCACAACTGGTGAAGACTGGCTGAACATGAATTTTATCTATTTTCTATTGACCCTGACAGAAAAAATATTGCTTCACAGTATAAACATAAAGACAATGCCAACATCTATCACTAGGCCTTCTTCCCTTTAAAAAAAGATTAGAGTGTGCATTCTCAATGGGGGTGAATCACTACCAAGAAGGACCCTCCTCAAAAAAAAAAGTGGCTGGACGTGGCAGCTCACACAGCCTGATCAACATGGTGAAATCCCATCTCTACTAAAAATCCAAAAGTTAGCTGGGCGTGGTGGCACATACCTATAATCCCAGCTACTCAGGAGGCTCAGGCAAGAGAATTGCTTGAACTTGGGATGGGGAGGTGGAGGTTGCAGTGAGCCTAGATTGGGCCACTGCACTTCAGCCTGGGTGACAGAGCAAGACTCCATCTCAAAAAAAAAAAAAAAGTTTACTCCTTTCATGTATAAAGCAGATACAGTAGTATATATACAGCATATCTATGATATTAAAATTTATGGGGGACTATATTTAAAAAAGTCTAAAAAGGCTGGGGGTATAATGGAAAAAAAACTTTTGAAAAACTGAATTAGAAGTCCAATCTCTTGGTCACATGCATTTCCCCTAAATCATTATGCTATTCAAAATATCCTGTAGCATTTTTGGTATATGGAATTCTCTTTTTTAAAATAATAAACATCTATGTGCAGAATGAAGTAATAAACATCTATAACTCCCAGAGTAAGAACAGTTTCCAAGAGGAGACATCCTTAGAAACTGACACTATTATGCTTCTCTGGCAGTGAGTAATAAAAAAATAAAAAGAAACTGACACTGTTAGAAAAATCAACATTTATCCAATCATAATCAAATTAAAAGTACAATTTAACATCTATATTAAGAATTACACATTTGAGGCCATAGGCTGGCAGTGGCACCTGAATTCTAAAATTACCACTTGATTCAGAATGGAATCTTTTTATATGGAATGAAATCTGCAGTCTTTTTACAAAGCATCCCCTTTCTTTATACCATCACACAAGTAATATCCATTTACTATAGTATTGTCTAAGTAAACACTACTGTGTTATTATGAAGAAACTACGATCAAAGATCATAATGTAGTTCTGGAAGATGACATACTTTTTCACTACACACAGTATAAAATGGCATACTTTGTAAGGCAGAAACATGCAATGAATTGGTTGTAGAAATATTAATGTAGTTTTGGCTACAACAGAATTCTGTGTAGGTGGTTTACAGTTTTGGAGTCTAATTACTACTTATTGTTATAAAGACATCTGAACACACAACATATAATACTAGTAGGTATTAACATGGAATTTACAAAAAAAAAAAAAAAAGACTGATATATAAAGCCTAAGTGTTAAGTATGGACTTTATTTTTTAAAAAAAAGTCTTTTGAGAACTACAAATTACAAAGTAAAAGCAGATCACTACGTAGAAATCTAGTGAATACATTTTGCCTGTGCATGAAAACTTTATCAAAGTTATTCATTTAACAAATTCACCCCATTCACAATATTCAATTATGTTCTTTTTAAGGTTACTATACCTTTATTTCAAATTATATTACATGTTATTCCCTCAAAATGAACTTTTAAACAACAAACTTTTGGCTCATAAGAATGGCACCTTCAAAAGGGGCGATTTCCACTCAGTCTCTGGTGGCATTATTCCAGACTAATTTCTTTCACCAGTTAAAAACCTTCAAAATGTTCACTTTTAACACAAAATCTTTCCATAAAAAATGTAGCTACAACCCCCCCCCAGTGACTACATACATAGATGGGTAGCAGCAAGAAAAGATGAAAATAAAAAGGCAGCCATTAAAATAAATGATCAATTGTATACAAGAAATATTTGGCTCATGGCAATTAAAAAATTGGCAACTAGGGTATGTTACTAGCCAGAGGCTTGAGTCATTACTGAATGTTAAGAGAATGAAGCCAGTCCAGTATGACCAAGTAGCAATATATAATTGTCATTGCACTTCATTTGTTATAGAAAATACTCTAAGCCAATAGGAAATCTAAGCTATATCTAGATTCCCAATTAGAACATGCTGACCTTTTAACATTTTTAACAATTTTTACTGCGTTAAGTACATCAGTCATTTTCTTTACTCAAACTCCTTTATGACTTCTTTCCTATCAATCTAAGTGAATTCTGTGCATAAAATACCTTAAATAAGACTTTTCTGAGGTTTATTTGAAAATGGCTGTATGAAAAGAATACCCATTTGTTTTGCCTGGAAAAATACAAATAAATGCAGAAGTTTCTCAAGGGGAAAAAGCTCAAATTTCTTCTTCCCACCACCTCTGCCACATTATGATTTCCTAAACTTTTCCAATTTTAGTATATGTGCTGCCGAAGCGAGCACTGATTTCCTAAACTTTTCAAGTCTGTTCTCCATGGATTCTCTAACGATGAAAACCAGAGAGCAAACAATTGAGCTTTAGGAAACCTGGAGTTAAAAATGCAAACAACAAAACAAAACAAAACAAAACAAAACAAAAACCATGCAAGCAATGGTCCTCATATTCAAGATTCATGTTAAATGAATTCAATATATGGATTTTAAATTGATGAGTAGGGCTCCGGACATGCCATATTATCACACAAATCATCGCCTTTTGAGACTCTGGATACTTTTACAGTTTAATTTGCAAACAGAATTGTTATAACAAATTATTATTTTTTAACCAAATCATATTTTGAAAACTGTTTATAGAAAACCCAGGGAATAAAGTGAACTGTTCATTGTGGAAGGCCTTAAATTACATTACAGTAGAAAATACAGGAGGTAGAAGATAACTGAAAAGACTAATGCAACATTAGATTCAAATCTATAGCTCCTGTAGCTACTTAAAACATGGTTTTAGGAACTAAACCCAACATTTCCAGCAACCATAGAAACAGTTAAAATAAAATTTGCCATGAAAGCCCTTATATCATGCTTGATACAGGGAGGTAGGAAGATGTAAGAACCAGGACACATGAGACATGACATTTTATCTACAACTCCTGTTTGCTTTACTGAGGGTGTAGTTTCAAAATTCAGTCACCTTCTTCAGCTTCAGACTCAGATTCTAGAAAGGGGGAAACATGCAGTTAAGCATTATATACCAGAAGGCGAAAGTTCCCATTTATAACTTTGAAGCTTTTTGTTTGTTTTTGGGACAGAGTCTGCCTCTGTCACACAGGCTGGAATGCAGTGGCACCATCTCGGCTCACTGCAACCTCTGCCTCCTGAGTTCAAGTGATCTTCCCACCTCAGCTTCCTAAGTAGCTGGGACTACAGGCGCCCACCACCAAGCCTAGCTACTTTTTGTATTTTTAGTAGACAGGGTTTCCCATGTTGGCCAGGCTGGTCTCAAACTCTTGGCCTCAAGTGACCCACCTGCCTCAGCCTCTCAAAGTGCTAGGATTACAGGCATGAGCCACCATATCTGGCCTCCATATAACTTTGAAGCTGTTTATCATGAAGAATTTTATTAAAAACCTACTTAGATGAGGGGGATAGTCAAAAGTATTCACTTGCAAATCCCAACATTTGGCTGGGTGCAGTCACACCTGCAATCTCTGCACTTTGAGAGGCTGAGGCAGGAGGGTTGCTTGAGCTCAGAAGTTCAAGACTAGCCTAAGCAACATAGTGAGACCCTGTCTCTATATTTTTTTAATTTAAAAAAAAGTAAAAAAAAAAAAGAAATCCACAAATTTATAAACATTAAATATTCGCAAAATTTTCTACTTCACCAAGAACATTTACTATATGGCTGAGCCATAAATATACTATAATAATTAAACTCTAGCTTTCTCTAACTGCTGCCCAAGTTAACAAGAATCTCTACCCTAAGTACAAAGTGGCATCAGAAAGAAAGAAGCATGTGTGAACATTTATTACGGCCACATTAAAATTAGTTTTTAAGCTTTACCAAACAAACCACCCAAAGGAAAATTCTTACCTTCTTCAGCATTTTTGAGCCACTCCACAAACTTTTTCATTTGCTCAAGGAAAACACTCTTCCCCTTCGCAACATGTGCATCTTTATACCACTTCAAAATGGGCTCTTCACTCAGGACTTCAGCTGGAAAGAAAATTCATTACATTAGGGGAGTTTAATACACTCTACTTGGACAGAGTTCGAACCACCACCTAATGTGCAAATGCCTGCTTAGCACACAAACTGCTGAAAAGTTAATCATGAAAACTGGAATAATGCATGAGCACACCAGCTATACTCTGGAGGATCGAGACTGGTCTGATGAGTGCAGAATTTCAAAGTGTTACAACCAAACATAGCAAATTAAATAACCGCAATGGATTTTCTCCCAACCAAGGGTCTTGTCTTTACTTCCCAGGTTTCTACAATTGGGATGAAGAGAAAGGGAACAGTAACTGAAATCAGGCTTTCTATAGAAGCACTCTGAAATGGTCTTGAGGGACAACAAAGTCAACACTGGGTGAGGGAGTAAGATGAAGAGAAGCAGGATTCACACAGGATTAATTAAGACTCCAAAGCTACGATTACAAAGCTAAGATTACAGTGTGTCTGGAAAAGGTATCTGGGTGTTTTTTGTTTTTTTTTTTTTTTGAGAAAAGGTCTCACCTGTTGCCCAAACTGCAGGAGTGCAATGGCACAATCATGGGTCACTCAAGTCTTGATCACCTGGGCTCAAGTCCCAACTCAGCCTTCTGAGTGCCACCGTTCCCTAGCTAATTTTTAATTTTTTTGTAGAGGAGAAGTTTCCTTATGTAGCCCAGGCTGGTTTTGAAATCTTGGGCTCAAGCAATCCTCCTGCCTCAGTCTCCTCCCAAAGTGCTGGAATGAAAAGTGTGAGCCACCATGCCCAGCTGGACTTTGGGAATGTATATACCTGGTTAGAGTATAGGAGGCAAAGTCTGAGGATGCATAATGATGGCTTTAGATTTCACACTTTAACACTGTAAATATGGTTTAGAGATGTTTTTAAAAAATACCCATGCACTAAAAAGCACCCGATGGAATCAGAGGTGACTCATAACTAGAAGTAAAATATTTCAGGAAGCTGATGTCCAGATAACTACTTATTTGCATCATTTTGTGTTCAAGAATTTTTACTAAATGTATTTACAAAATTTAAAATATACATTACCTTTATAAAAAAGCACCACTATTTTCTGGAAGGCTTTCATGAAATGAATGTTGTCATAGCAATACTCCTGAATCTTCAGTAACAGAGTCAGCTCAGACTGACCTTGAGTAGTAAAGGCAGCAAGTAGAGGGCTGTATTGCTGTTAAAGGGAATGGAGAAAAAATTTAGTCATTCATTACAGTTAGCATCCACTACAAAACTCCTACAGTATAGAACTTAACTCACCTTTTATAATCACTGTGAATTATAACTGATTTACCAGAAATAAATTTAAAAAATAGGCTGGGAGCAGTGGCTCACATCGTAATCCCGGCACTTTGGGAAGCCAGGGCGGGCAGATCACATGATGTTAGGAGTCTGAGACCACCCTGGCCAACATGCTAAAACCCCATCTCTGCTAAAAACACAAAAATTAGCCAGGTATGGCAGTGTGCACCTGTAGTCCCAGCTACCTGGGAGGCCAAGGAGGCAGGAGAATTGTGCTTGAACCCAGGAGATGGAGGCTGCAGTGAGCTGAGATCACATCACTGTATTCCACACTGGGAGACAGAGAAGACTGTCTCAAAAAAAAAAAAAAAGAAAGAAATTAAAAAAATAGCAAAGCAGAAAAATCTCCTAAGCCGCTAGGTAAAATAAATAATACTGTACCAAGTAGTCCAGGTAAATGTCAAATAATATTAGTATTTTAGAGGGGGATAAAAAAGAACACTCCTATTTTCCAATAACCCCTTCAAAATCAAACGTTTAATTACAAGCTTCAGTTCCTTTCCATTGTTTTTGCTTTTTTTTTTTTTTTTTTTTTTGAGACAGGATCTCACACTTTTACAAGGGCTCTGTCTGACAAAACCATCAGCCATCATAAGCTCACTGCAGTCTTGATCTCCAGGGCTCAAGTGATCCTTTGCCTCAGCCTCCTGAGTAGCTGGGACTACAGGCATGTGTCACCATGACTCGCTAATTTTTGTGATTTTTAGTAGAGATGAGGTCTCACTATGTTGCCCAGGCTGGTATCAAACTGAGCTCAAGCAATCCTCCTGCCTTGGCATCCCAAAGTGGTGGGTTTACAGGCGTGAATCACTGTGCTTGGCCATGTCCTTGTTTTTAACCTGTGAACCACAGCCCAATTCAGGGCATTATCTTCAATAGTTAATGTTACTATTTGTCTATTTAATGGTGGGCCATCCCCAGGAACCACAGGATGTGGTAATTCCTCTTAGAAAAGTATAGTTGGTCACAGTTCACTTATCCCCACATAAAAGTAGAATAGTTTGTTTTGTCAAGGCATAGTTCTAACACCTTCAAGTGCTTGATGGCTTGCTCTGCTACAAGCTCCTCTTTTTTGTTCCATTCCACAGTGCTCATTACACTTGACCAGACTATTCCGATGACAACTGGTTCTGGGATGTTGTTTTTTTTCATCTCCTCCTTGACATATAAAATTATCTGTAAAAGAATCCAAATTTAGTAACAGAAGTCAGTTTTGATATGTACATACTTCACACATCAAGTTTAGACCTTTAACAAAAACATAACGACTCCCATGCACCTGGCAACAACCACATCTGTACCACATATGAAAAGAGACCTTTACAGCTGAAAGGTGCCTTGAGCTCCAGGCTTACATTTCTGGGCCTCGGTCAGGCACTGAAAAAACATACGCAAGACTGAGGCAAAGTTCAAGTAAAATACTGTTGGTATTAACTCAATCTCATCCTGGTGAAATAAGTTCCTCAGCTTAGTGAAAATAAGCCAGAAGCTTAGCTGTAAAAAGACGGTTCAAACAAAAAACTTACATCCTTAAATGGATCGCCGCGGGACATCTGTTCTTGAAGTTCTTTCTGGAGCTCCTTACGAGCTCCGATGGTTTGCTGATTCCGAACATATTCTGAAAGCTCTTTCAAGCCTGCCTCAGTAAAATACTTTGTGAAGTGTTCAACGCTTTGCTTATTGGCAGGAAAAAGTTCCTAAAAGGAGATTTAATCTAGTTAAAGTTTCTTTAAATCAGATTAAAAACACTTTCTTTTCAGTCTTAAAAATGAGAAGTTTCTCTCATTTACATCTTTTGGCAAGAACGGGAAGAAAAAAGTTACAAACCATCAGTCTGTTATCCATGCTGACTTTCCGAAGACTTGCAGCTACTGCATTGATATCTTTTTCATTTATCCATGATTTAAAGAGCTTTACAGCAAAAGCTGCTGAAACCCCTGCAAAAGAAAGTAACTTACTTAACAAAAGTACCTTCCTGGTTTCAATCACTGTATCCCCTATATCCTTCCCTTCATAGTGCAATCACATGGAATTACCGACTTTCCCCCACAAACTTATTCCTGAACTTTCCTGGGCCACAGTTTATCACTTCTCCAACTTCCGTAGTTTACCCATTGCAAGTTGTATATTCTTGGCCAAATTACTTAGAAGTGTTTTCAAAAGTGTAAACTGAGGGCAAAAGTCTCTACACTTGACAAAGCTGTTGTGAGAATTACAGTAAGGCAACTTAGATACTCAGTACTCTAAGCAGTTTTTTAAAAAAAAGTTAGCTTCAAAAAAATTACTGTACAGAACAATCTGACAATTGAAGCCAAATAGGGAATTGATTTTCCCTTCTAGCTTGACATTTTCTCCAGTAACATTTTCTTCATTAAAGATCGTCTCAAGTCTCCCAATTGGTATTAATCTCTTTTGGGGTTCCCACAGCATTTCTCATTTTATTTTCATTGCATATAACATTTTGTCTAAACCTGGGTATTTGTTGTATGCCTAAAGAAAGCCATTAAACCTGGATGCTAAGGGTACTCATTAAATGTCTAGTGAGTTAGAATGCATTTACTAAGTTTAAAGCTGGTTAGTAAACGACGACTACCACACAAGTCACATCTATGAATAGTAAACCATGCTCTTATCTATCCCACTGAGTCAACTAAGACCATCCTTTAGGGTCGATTACCTTCTTTAACCAAATTCTCATTATAAAGGCTATTAAGAATGGATGCATTAAGTGTTCCATTAGCCAGAAGAACGCCAGTCAACATAGCCAGCTTGTTCCTCTCCGACTCTGAAAAACCCTTTAAAAACAGCAGCAGCTGTAAAAAGTAAAACAGGTTAAGGGTTAAAAGAGCAATTGCACTACATTAAGAGAAGCAGTAAAGCATGTTATACTGGTTACTGATTCAATACGTGGGTTCTGAAATCTAACCATCCAAGTTTACATCTCAGTTATAATACTTATTAGCTGAATGATCTTGGGCAAGTTACTCAACCTCTGCACCTCACATGTAAAATGTGGATAATAAAACTTGCCTCACAGGGTTTTTATAAATATTAAGTGAATTAATGTTATTAGAACAGTGCCTGGTCCTTGACAAAAATATCAGGTTTTCCGTCTATCTATATGCAATATTGGGCCAGGCGTGTTGGCTCTCACCTGTAATCCCAACACTTGGGGAGGCCAAGGGCAGATCACTTGAGGCCAGGAGTTCAAGAACAGCCTGGCCAACATGGTCAAATGCTATATCTACTAAAAATAGAAAATTCAGCCAGGCATGGTGGCACATGCCTGTAATCCCAGCTACTCGGTAGGCGGAGGCACAAGAATCACTTGAATCCAGGAGGCGAAGGCTGCAGCGAGTTGAGACTGAGCCACTGCACTCCAGCCTGGGACACAGACCGAGGCTCCATCTCAAAAAACCAACCAACCAAACAAAATCACCCCAAATCCGTGACAGAATTAGGATTTAACATTCCTCTTTCTAATCCTAATTTTTTCTTTTCCATAAATACATTATTCCTCATACCTTTTTTACTTCATCTTCAAAACCTTTCTCCAGGTATTTGTAGCGCCTGATTAACTTGTTAAAAACCTATCAAAAACATTAAATTAATTCAGTAACTTCATATATTTCTACAACGGCAAGGTAGTAAAACTTTCACTAGATATAAGTTTATGAGCTGTTTAAACAAGCTTGAGAAGAGTTTGTCAATTCCTAAATTTCACCAATACTATTGGCAACCACCTCCCAACAGATTTTTATTGCTGTGTATGAAACAAGGACTAATTATTGCTCAAATATAAGCCATTTACCCATTTGTAGGACACGAACAGAACACATCATAAATACAATTCTACACTTCCTAGTGACACATAAAAATGTCCAAGTTAGATGTACTTTCTTTGCTTACAGTAATATAAACATAACTACGTATGAAACTTTCCTATGAGATCTTTTTTTTCTTTCTTTCTTTTTTGTATTCACTCTTACACAGAAGAGATCTTGATTACCAAGCTAATAAATAAGCCCACAGCTCATATCTTTAAAAATAAATATACGCAGATAAACTAGGGAAATCGCAATATGGAACTTTCATTTTCAGCTTGACATTTTTCTTAAAAACTGAGCAATTTCCAGGACAAGTAGGAAAAGGAGAGTTAATTTAATTTTCCCCTATTTTGTTTGCCTTAACACACCTTAAGTTTCTAATTTATCCTGCTGCACCAAGAACAGTATCTCCAAAATTTAAAATCAAATTTCTTCAACTTTCTACCTGCAACTCTTAAAAGTAGAATATTCTTCAAACATATCATATGGATAGAAGCTAACTGAAAACAATTATGTAAAGTTTCATTTACCTGAGCAAATGCTTGCATGGTCTCTAGGTCTTCTTGGGCTGCAAACACGCAGACATCTGTGCGCATCATGTCATCTGCCAGTGTACCACCTGGGGCTAAAGTTGGATAAAACCAAAATACAACATAAGTAAATAAATCACCCCATTCTAACAAGTTTGCCAAATAGTTCATATTCTAGATTCTTCACAGTCTCCATACATTATACTTCTCTAAATTATTTTTTAATTTTTTTTTATTTTTTGAGACGGGGTTTCACTCATGTTACCCAGGCTGGAGTGCAATGGTGCGATCTCGGCTCACCGCAACCTCCGCCTCTTGGGTTCAGGCAATTCTCCTGCCTCAGCCTCCTGAGTAGCTGGGATTATAGGCACGCACCACCATGCCCAGCTAATTTTTTTTTGTATTTTTGGTAGAGACGGGGTTTCACCATGTTGACCAGGATGGTCTCGATCTCTTGACCTCGTGATCCACCCGCCTTGGCCTCCCAAAGTGCTGGGATTACAGGCTTGAGCCACCGAGCCCGGCCTAAATTATTAAGCCCACAAACCCCAGACACTTACCCAGCATTCCACCAGCCACCAGAATGTCAAAGAGTGTTTCTGCATATCGACGGTAATCAAGTTTTGCTCCAGAAGCATCAAGAAACTTAGCTACTGCTTCCAAATCAGTACCGGTTTCAGTTAAGCCTTGAATAATACAGTCTTGAAACTGAGTAGGATCAAACCTCTCTTTTTCATCTGGAGGGACAGGAGACCCAAAACAGTAGTTTTAAAAGATTTACCAAAATGCCACAAAACTATCACCTTATGAAGCTGTAACTGCTAAATAAGTTAGGATTAAATTCACATTCTTCGCATGTTTCTCCTCTGAAAGTACAAGATAGGATGGATGGCCCACTCACAAGAATTGTGCAACTTTCAAACAATTTCACAAGTGAGCTAAATGTGCTAGTGTCTGTGCTCCTACTGCCATGAGGCAATTTCTACGGGGAACACCCTTCACCTCTTGGCTTTTCTAAAATGTAGGCCATCCTCTAACAGGTAAATTTTATTCCTTTGAGTTTTGCCCACACACTGGAGCTCTTGATCCTTTTCTATAAATGTCCATAATGCTAAAAAGAAAAAAAAAATTTGAACCATTAATTTAGCATTTATGCAGGTGAGCTTTAGAAAGTACATTTAATGAGCACCCAATATGACAGAAACTATATTAATCCTGTTAACTTTATGAGGCAGACTTTTCCCCCTATTTATTCAGAAGGAAAAAAACAGAGAGAAATTATGGAGACTATATTGTATAGTAATTCAGAACATGGGGTCTGGAGTTAAACTGTCCAATTCAAATCCTGATCTCCATTTAACCATCTGAATTTGAGCAAACAGCCTCATTCTCCATGCCAGAATTCTCCTACTATAAAATGTGGGTAAGAATTGTACCTATCCAAGGCCAGGTGTGGTGGCTCACACCTTTAATCTCAGCACTTCGGAAGGCAGAGGCGGGCAGATAACGAAGTCAGAATTTCGAGACCAGCCTGACCAACATGGTGAAACTCTGTCTCTACTAAAAATACAAAAGTTAGCTGGGGCTGGTGGCTCACACCTGTAATCCCAGCTGCTCAGGAGGCTGAGGCAGGAGAATTACTTGAACCAGGGAGGCAGAGGTTGTAGTGAGTCGAGATCACACCACTGCACTCCAGCCTGGGCAACAAAGCAAGACTCTCTCAAAAGAGAAAAGAAAAAAAAAAAAAGAATAGTACTTATCCCATAAAGTTGCTGCAAATGCTAAATGACATTAATAATATAAAAAGCACCCAGGCCATAGTCTCGTGCACATCGCCAACCTGTACCGAGTTGCTTTCACAAACTCCATAATAGGGTTTTGCTTTTCCAATCTAGAGTAGATAGTATCTTAATTTTCACACAGTACTAGGGTAACAAATACCTCTATTTGCCCAGTGCTTTTCCGGTTTTAGCACTCAAAGCCTTGTGTCTGGAAACTCCCTCAGTTCCAGACAAACAGGGATTGTTGTATACCCTACCCAGGTCCCTAATCATCAACAGCCAGGCTACGAATGATCTTTATATGGAACTGGGGAAGTGATACCTCTCCCTGATGCTAATAATGATGATAAAGCTACTTGTTATTATTCATATCAAGGTAACATCAGTAATCCACATATTGAAGAGATACAGACTTTCCCCTTTTACTGACAAATTGCTCTAGTTTACAACTCCAGCTCCTTAAGAAAATTTACCAGCTAAATCTAAATGAATCTGCAAAGATTAGAATCAAATCACACTTTGGTCTCCCCACTACCACTACAAGGAGACAGACAGCCTACAATTAGTGATTATAAAATTCTACAATATATATCTCAAAACGTCTGCTACTTAAGGTAGAAAAAGAAAAACACAACTTCTAACCAATAGCTGACCCAGTTCTTCATTTCCTCAAAACCCCCTGTAAAATAAGGTTAAAGTGCATTTGAGCAAAAACGTTAAAAATATATGAGACCACATCTTATTTAGCTTTATATCATTAGCACAGCACTTTGCTACAGGATTCAATATTCACCTAAGTACACACTAATGCAAAAAAGTAGTAATATAATTCTAATATTTTCCCTACTAAGTCTGTAATTTCAAAAGGCACTACAATGTGAATCCTGTTCCATAATTAATGTCCATGGGTGAAGTCTTGAGTTTTCTCACAAATTTTCACAAAATCTGTGTGACTACATTAGGAGCTTTCCTTTTATAAATTTAACATCTTTGCTCATTTAAGTTTGCTGACTTCACTGCTTGCTAGTGAAAACAGAGCTCTTATTTTTGTTTTAAAAAAGTACTTTACCTTCACATTAAAAACATTCACTAATCGGCTTAGAGATATATTCATACTAAAAATTAAGGCTTGAGAAAGCAGTAGAAATATTAAAGGTGTATCTGAAATGGCAGTCAACGAGAAATTTAAGTTACTTTCTGGTATCTTCTATTGAGGCTTTAGTATTATGCAAGTGCCTATAACAGGAGACAAGAAACAAGATATTCTGGAGGTTTGGAGACAGACATTAAAACATAAATGTTTACCTCTTTTTCTTGTTTTAAAACGCTGGCCTGATAGCGTTGGCTTTTGCTGCTTTTGATTATTCATAAAAGACACCCTAGGAAAAGAGAAATAAAGCCTTAATATCAGTGCCATAATACTCATTTTTAAAACAAAGCATCAAACCTTAGCCTAGTCACACATGAATCGAATGGAACACGCACTCTCAGCTTCCAATTATACCCGGTGCAGGCACAAACGGAACGTCAAAATCTGCATTTCTCTCTACAAGAAACTCTTTAAATTAGTGCTGTGAACTACATAATAAGCGACATTACAGTGCTACACTGATCACCCATCATAAACCTAATTGCTCAGTTTTCTCCACATTCCTCTTTACATTCACTTACATCTTCCACGACCACTAAGCAGCGCAGAACGCAGATTACCACCATAGTCAAGAGGCTTCCAAAACATGTATGCCAATTCTAAAACACTGTCAAAAGGTGAACCCAGTCTTCTGACAGGCCTGATTATGAACAGCACCATCCTACCCTAGGTCATGCCTGTGACCGCAGCTGCGGTCGCCTTGCACCACTCAAGCCTGCAAAACTAACAGAGAGCAGCCAGTACTAGCTCCTTCGCCCATAATCCCACAGTCCCAGCCTCCTCCCCGGGCACGTGTCTCTCACTCCACACCCTTCCTAGCCTCCCGCTCAGGACCCCTTGGCCACAGCGGGGCGCCGTAGGGTGCCGCGGCTCCTTCTCTACTAACCCTGTCACCGGCGGTGGCGGCCGCCGCAACGAACGGACCACAGGCGCTGAGGCGCTTCGCGCCGGGGCCCCAGTCACCCCGTACATCCGCCCGCCCTCCGGCAAAAGCAGCGGCGGAGGCAGCGGCCGCAGTGGTGATGGTGGACCGTCCGCCCCGCCCGGAGGAAGCCTCCACGCGTATACCACCCAACAGAGGCCACGGTGGCTTTGTTACCCAGGCTAGGAAAGGCCCGGAGGGGGCCGCCTCACCCCCTGATTTCGCCGCGGCGCGCACCCTGACCCTCCTTCCCGACCCGAGCCACTGCCGCCCCTCGGCCTCCCGGCCGAAGCGGCAGCCTTTCAGGCCCAGGATCCGGCCGGGCCTTGAGAGGCGGCCTCCGTTCGGGCCCATCCTAGCCGGGCCGCATCCAGCTCGCTGCCTCCCTTGCCCTCTGCCCAGTGTCGACGGCCCGCAACGTCGGCTTGGGGTGAGAGGGGCGCCGCGCCTCACCGAATTTAAGGCGAAGAGGAAAGAGCCAGAAATCCCCGATGTAGCGGCAACTGCGGCGGTGTCTCCTCTGCGACCGGAACTAACGCCAGGAGGAGGAGGGAGAGGTGCCACCCCCGCCAGGACCGCTCTCCTATCGCGAGATTTCTTCTCCTGGCCCCACCCCGGCGGCCCGCTTAGATCTTGGCCGAGCGCCTCCGCCTTTTCCATTCCGCGCGGGTTAAGGTGAGGGACCGAAATAGGGGAGGGGAGAGACTTTTCAAGGCTTCTTTCTTCCCTTACTGGGTTCCACGTCGCCTGGATACCTGTCCTAGACTAGATTATTTTTCTTTCGCTGCTGCGTCTTCCGCCATGTTAACACACGGAGGGGCTGGAAGAGCAGAGCCGCCCCCCGCCGGTCTCAAAGTTGGACGCGTCCGCCTGGAGTCCCTCCCTGCCGGCCCCCTCCTCCAGCGCCGGAAGTCGAAACCGGAGGGCGGGGGCGCTCGGGTCGTGCGGGGGCGGAGGCTGGGGGCGGGTCCGGGGGCGTGGCTTGGGGAAGGAAACCACACCTCGCCTCCGCCCCGGCCGGGGTGGGCGGAGCTCGCTCTGGCTGAGTCCCTAGCGGGACGACTTTGCTCTGAGGGGCTGTCTGGTTGTTCACTGCCTCCCTTAGGAGCGAGGAGGACACAAACCGAGGGTTCAGAGGGGGAAATTCTGCCCTCCAACCGCGGCCCTCGCGCTCTGCAGCGGTTGTCTCCCGAGTGTGATGGCAGTGGGGACTTGGAGAGCATCAGAATCCCTTGGAGGACTTGTTAGAACAGATTGCTGGGCCCCACCTGCAGTTTCTGATTCTGTAGGCCTGGTGTGGAGCCCGTGAATGTGCCTTTCCGACAAGTTCTCTGTGATGTTGCAGCTGGTCTACGGACCACACCTTGGGAACCCCTCAGTTAGAGGGTGTATCATCAGGGAGCTGGGGTACGATCAGATAAGATAGTACGTGTGAAAAGCACTGGGGACCTGTCAAAAGTCTGCTGATAGAGATGCACAGCGCCTTTAGAATGTAGCCCCATGTTTTTATTCACTGTGCCGCAGTTTGCTTCTCTCTAGTTGTTTCTCTACTCTCTGGTAGAAGAATGGCTTCTCTTCCCTAAACCTTTTAATAAAATAGTCTGTATTAGTTGACTTCTTTTGCTTAATTATCTGACCTCTATCACCCCACCCCCACGCAACCTCATGGAAAATTACTTCCTCGACGTTCTTTTCTGAAATTATTGCCAAACCCAGTCATTCTTTCATTCTTCACCCTGTTTGCCTCCGCTGAGCATTGAGTATTACTTGCCTCTTTGAATCGGGTCTGCAATTATCCGGGTTACGCTCTGAATGTGCCCTTGTTCAGTTATTTGCTGACTCTTCTGTATTGACACCTCTTTCTGCATACTTTCTTCTGTGGCAGTCTCATACGTTCTCAAGGATTTAATGTTTACTCCGCTTAAAAGAGTTCCAAGATCATCTATTGAATCATTAAGCAAATATTTGTTAAATCCAGGCTCTATGCCCTTCCAAGTTGAGGCAACAGCAGTGGGAAGGAGGCAGGAAAGAAATGGATCTGTTGGAGGAACTGCAGGAAGCTAGTGTGACTGGGAAGGCTGTGGGGAGCAGAAGGAAGTGGCCGGAGTCAGACCTCTGTCTCTTACCCGGTCCTTTCTCCCAAGCCCCCAGTCCACACTATCCGGTATCTTCACTGCCCGGTCAATTTAACACTGTCAGTGCTGTTGATTGCTCTTCCCCCAGAACTATATTTTTCACATCTGAAGTTCTGTTAAAGGTACAACGTTTCACAAATAAAAATAACTAATACACACCTATATGTATCAGGCACTTTTCTAAGCACTTTGTATAGTGACCCCATTTGATCCTTAAAACTACCCTATAATGTAGACTCTATTATTAGCCCCATTTTACAGATGGAAAAACTGAGGCATCGAGATCAAGTAACTTGTCTAAGATCATAGAGCTAGTAAGTGCAAGAACCCAAGCAGTCTGGCTTCACCATTATAATACACCACCTCACCACCAAGATCTTATTCATTCAACAAATATGTGTTAAGCTAGAGACCAGTAGAGATAGGGACATGTCAGGCCTATGGCCTCACAAAGCTTATCTTCTATTTTTGCTATGTTTTAAATTCTATCATCTTTCTTCAGTACCATCTTGATTTAGGCATCTATTACCCTTAACTAAATGGGACTTTTGCAATAACTTCCTAACTGTACTATCCCCTTTCTCAGCACTTCCAGAGCAGTCTTCTCAACTGCAGCCTGTATCATTTCTCTTTACTGTTTAAATGCCTCTGTTTGTACTTAGGGGTGGCTCTGGCCAATGTTTTTCACCTTTACTTCCCATCACATTTGTGGTTCTCTTTTTTAAAAATTTATTTCTATATGATTTTAATAATGTTCCCTAAGTAATTAGTAATCAAGGTTTTCTTCAAATTCAAATTAACAAATACATATTGTGGGAGTCTTGCTCTGTTGCCCAGGCTTGAGTGCAGTGGCATGATCTCGGCTCACTGCAACCTCCGCCCCTCGGGTTCAAGCAATTCTCTGCCTCAGCCTCCTGAGTAGCTGGTATTACAGGTGCCCACCATCATGCCTGGCTAATTTTTAAAATATATTTTTGGTAGAGATGGGGTTTCACCATGTTGGCCAGGCTGGTCTTGAACTCCTGACCTTGTGATCCACCCACCTTGGCTTCCCAAAGTGCTGGAATTACAGGCGTGAGCCACTGTGCCCGGCTACATTTGCGGTTCTTAATCTGGTATTACCATTCATTGTGGGGTATGTAGCAAACAATTTTTGACTAAAAATGATATTAAAGTAAGCAGATTATTAAAGTGGATTAAAGGTTTTCCTGAACTCCTGGTCCTAAATGATCCTCCTGCTTTGGCTTCCCAAAGTGTTGTAATTACAGACATGAGCCGCCACGACAAGCCACTTATCTTTTCTCTGCTTTTGGGTGCTCCCATAGGACTAGGCACTGTAGGCTGGCATGGGAAATGTTTGTAAATTGTATTATGGTAGAAAAAGTTTCCAAACAATTGAACTCTGTGCTTTTATCAGACAGGAGACACCTCATCTTGACCTTTCTAGAGATGGCCTTCCTTCATTTTCCACTGTCGAAATCCCACTTACTGTCTCAAGCCTTGTTTCAATTACTGCTTTTTTCTCTTAAGCCTTTCTTAGTCACAGATGTGAACACATTCCTTCTTTGTAATTGGGACTACAGGCATGAGCCATTGTGCCTACTAGTTTTGTCTGTTTGTTTTTTGGTGGTGATGGGGTCTTGCTTTGTTGCCCAGGCTGGTCTTAAACTCCTCACCTTCCTAGGTAGCCTCCCACCTCAGCCTCCCAAAGTGCAGAGACTGTAGCTGTGAATCATCATGCCTAGCCTTGCCCAATTTTATGGTTGTTTTGGGAAAAGGATATGCTGACTTCTTCACTCTGCCATTGCTGTGAACCCCCTTAGTACTTTTGGGTTTTAAACTTTTGAACTACTTAAAAAGAAAGGTGCTAAGTGGAACATGTCAATGTGATACTGCTTTTAACTTCATTGATGGAAATGGATAAGTGTTTCTACAATAGGTTTTTATTTCTAACAATTAGAAGAATGTCAAGGGCCTGTTTTGAAAAGCACATTGTTAACCTTGAAAAATGACCTGGGGAAAGTATTTATTCCTATGCTTTGAGTCTTCTAGAAGTTTATACAACATTCTATGAACCTGGCTTAAATATTGTAACATATGTATATGAAATACTTCTAGATACACACATGTATATATGTATGCATATATTTATGTATGTATGTGTGGCTAGAAGTATTTTCATAGGCGCCAAAACATTTTTACAATGAAAAAGCTTTGAGGTACAATGAGCTGTTAAATAATTTCATTTTAGATTTAAAAAATGTGTTAAATATCATTCACTTGCTACATATCTCATATATACCATTTCTTTTACTTGCTGCATAGAATGATTTTAATAGTTATTATTATCAATATTATTTGACATAATCAAGATAAAAATAAAAATAAGGACTGCTTAATTACATTAACATTTTAGTAATATTTGATAAATAAATACCCTCTTTTAGCAAACAAACTCTATTATTTAGATTTTAGATTCTTTTTTTTTTAATAGAAACAGGATCTGGTTATGTTGCCCAGACTGACCTCGAACTCATGGGTTTAAGCAATCCTCCCACCTTTGCCTCCCAAAATGTTGGGATTATAGGTGTGAGCCACCACACCTTGCCTTGATTTTTGAATAGGGCAAAATAATTGGGAGGCTTAGGGATTCAAGAAATTTGGCATACACACATTTTCTGTTTCTCTCTTTCTGCTCTTAACATCAGAATAAAGACAGGTTAAAGTGAAAATTCTTTGCTCCTGTAAAGTGCTTATTCTGAATATAGTTTGAGGTGAGTTGCCATTAGTGATATTTGGAGTGATTTTAATATGTGCATTCTAAGTTACATAGCATTCAAGGTATTCATTAAAACAAAATAAAAACCAACAAAGGAACAGTGTGATGGCATGTGGTATGTTAGCTATAGGATTGTTTAGAAAAAACTGTTTATTGCTTATTATTAATAGTTCATATCTCATAGAATATTACTGTGGAACTGAAGATTAAGAAATGTTACTGAGGATGCCAGATCCAAACATCTCAGTGTTGGAAAATTATCTCCAATGCGTAACTGTTTCCCTGGCATATTTAGATGGCCATCCTTCTTTGATGTCTCTTTTTACATCTACATTTCATTTTTTGGGAGGCTCTGTGTGATGGAAAGCTTTGTTTGTTTGTTTGTATGTTTGAGATAGAGTCTTGCTCTGTTGCCCAGGCTGGAGTGCAGTGGTGTGATCCCAGCTCACTGCAACCTCTGCCTCCCTGGTTCAAACGATTCTCCTATCTCAGCCTCCCAAGTAGCTGGGATTACAGGCGTGTGCCACCACGCCAGGCTAATTTTTGTATTTTTAGTAGAGACGGGGTTTCACCATGTTGGCCAGGCTGGTCTCAAACTCCTAACCTCGAGTGATCCACCCGCCTTGGCCTTCCAAAGTGCTGGGATCACAGGCGTGAACCACCGTGCCCAGCCAATGGAAAGTTTTTATCCAAGATGAAAAAGCAGCTAAACTAACTAGCACTTAGTCACTGCCTTATTGCTATTATTAGTAGTACTACTGCTATTATTTGGTATGTACTACTATTAGTAGTAATAGAGTGGTTATGGTAGACCTTAAATTTATAGAGGATGTTACTGTATACAAAAGGTTTTCACATACATTTTATAATTCTTCACAACAACTTTGTAAGAAAGTAAGGCTACCTTGCTTTCAAAGTAAGCTAACTATAATATCATTGATGATTATTAGTCTTCCAGAAGAAGGCCATGAACTACCATTAAGTAAACTTAA